GATAAGAAGAAATGTAATAAGTATGTCATAATTTAGGCAGTTGAAATGCATTTAAAAAAAGATTCAGATTTTTATCACAGAGATAGTGAACGTGTTCCATCCATAGTCCCTGAACCCACACATTATTCCTGGGTGACCCCATCCAAACCCAGATCAGTGATCACTTGTACATCCATAAAACTTCCAAATCACCAAGATCCTTCTGTCAGTGTCTTCTCCCAGCAAATGATCTCACCACTTATTTTCATCAAGAAAACTGATATCTTTAGAAAGTAGCTCCCTTAACTATGACCCCATCCAAATACCACCAGGAACCATCAAACCTAACTTGCTTGCCTCCTCTCTATCCTACCTAAGATCAGTGCCTTCATGTTGCTCTGATTTTATACCCCCTACATTACTTAATCAGTTTTTTTCCCCTTACTGTATCTGTCTACTAGTTTCTTCAAACTAGATTTCTTCAAATTCTTAGGTGCTTAGAATCATAGGACCTTCCCAGCCTCCAAGCCAAGGAGTCCTGTGTGCTCTCTGTTCCTCAAACCAATCTGGTTTCTACAGTCAAATCATTTACATTTAAGATTGGTGAATATAATCATTGACTTTAATGAAGATTCCTGAGGCATCAGGAGAAGGCTCTCATTACCCACCACACCCTTTCTGCCATCTTGCTTACTCAACTCACCCCATCCTCCATCCGCTCACTTCTTATCTGCATTTTGGATTGCTCTGGGAACACTCAATTCACCCCATACCTAATGTCTTGGTGCCAGCTAACCAATATTGTCTTTCTCCATATTATTGACTCCACACTACTGATTCTTTTGCAGTATCTTAAATCTATCACTTTCATTTTATATCTAGGCCAAATCTTAGTTCAGATTTCTGCCTGTCACATTTGCATTGCTGCAAGACCACAGTGAACTAACTAGACTTGGGCATTTGGCCCTCTGTCTTCTCCAGTAAATCCTGCACAGACTTGAAAGATGTGCATTTCTAAAGCCATCCTTCACTATGTCCGTTTCAAGGTCAGAGTTTTTAACAAATCCCAGTTCTTATGCAATAAAGTCCCAATTGCTTAGTCAGGCTTTGAGACCCTCCTTAATCTGGTCCCAACCTAATTTTCCAGCCTAATATTCCAGACCTATGCCGCCCTAAGCCGCCAAACTGGTAGACCCACTCTCTTTTGTATCTACTTGCACAGTCCTGCTTCCCAAGCCTGGAATGTGTTCCCTCTGATGTTCCCACCCTCTTAATCCACTGGATTTCAGATCTGGTATCAAATACTGCTTCCTCTTCCAAGCCTTTCCTGATTCTCTCAGCCCATAGAAATCTTTACCCTTTGGACACATTGTCTCATTTCTCTCCATCCGCATTAAGGTGATAATATCCTCTGTTTGCTAGGGACTGAGGGGTTTCCCAGGACCTGGGGCTTTCAGTGATAAAACTGAACAGTACCGGGCAAGCTGGAACAGTTGGTCACTCTACCTGTAATATATATGGTGAAGGTCCTGACGTAGCAGAAGAAGACAGTGCGTTTTGTGGATGCCTGCTATGGAAGTTCAGATGGCAGAACTGGTCACAAAAACTCCAGTGGGGACAAGACAGTGAGTGAGAACACTTGTTGGACCTAAGGGCAGGCCAAGCCAAGCTGAGACCTTCAGATAGATACATAGCTGAAAGGACCCCACTTCTGCAGTTCCCCTTCTCTCTCTCTCTCTCTCTCTCTCTCTCTCTCTCTATATATATATATATACATATATATATATATAAGTGGATGGCAAAAGTACAAATATCAGAACAGAGAGGAAAATCTAGAGAGGTTTTCCTTTTCCTTTTATCGTTACCTTGGAAACAGAATCAGAGCTATTCACTAGGAGAATTAAATTAAACTCAAAAGTTAAGGTTAAACTTTCTGGAGGTTTTCTGACGCCAGGTTGAAATACAACGGGAGTTATAAAAATCTGGTAAAAAGGCAGCAGATTAACTAGTCAGAGAATTGTGTTAGAGATTTGTAATACACATTGGTATTGTTTGAGAATATTCAGATCTGTTATAGAAGAAAAGAAAATGGCTTTAATTGTTTCTGTTGTTATCGAAGAAAAGATGGAATGAATGAGCTAAGATGTATTATGTACAGATATGTGGTTAGTAAGTGAAGCATGTGTTAAATGTAGATTCATATCAAAAGGAATGGAAGCATGAAGAGGTATACGATAATCATGAGGTACTAGATGTATACAAGGCACTTGTAGCCAGGAGTATTTGTCCCTGAATCTTTCCAATAGAGCAAGTACGTGTTGGTGGTTTAAAAAACCTTCTATTCTGTATTTGCTTGGACCTCAGTCCTGGTCCTTATAACCACGCCATGAGCAGGGAAAGCTGATGGAGTAGCAGAGAGAGAGGATGCATGAATATTGCATAGTCCAGGATTCAGGTAACGTGGCCCATTCATCTAATCCTGCATATTCATGTACCCCTTTCTTCCCCCTTGCTTCTCACGGTGTGTTTTAAATTGATTCAATAAACTGTGCAATGTGAGCGTTTTAATTTGGTCTGGGAGTGTTTGTGTTCCATGACCCCTGCAATAGCTTGCCTGCTCATGGACTTGGCAGTCATATGGCTTCAAGATATTTCCTATGTGGTATGACTTGAGAAAAATGTTCTGTCTGCCATGAAGCTATCCTTTCTCCAACTGGCATTCTGTTATTAAACAAGTATTTGCTTTAATACCTAATGTTTCTTTCTGAGCAAATTTGAAGTTTGAGACAGTTTATAATAATGTATTTGGTCAAAAGATTTGTGGCTTGTTTTTGGTTGTTTAGATTATTTATAAGATCTGATGATAATGTAATGTGATATGCTTGTTTTCTTTTCTTGTGTGTGTATGTGTATCTATATCTAGAGAGATATACTTCTGCTTGATGTATTACAGAAAATTTTAAATGTTATTCCATGAGTTTTCAGAATTTAAAAATTTTATTAAACTGCTAAGTTACTGATATACATTAAGAATTTGAAATGTGAAGTCAGGAATATTTAAAATCATTAAAGATTTTGCATCCTGATATTTAATATCAGATCTTTTATGTCCAGCTACTGAAATAAATCTATTATTGAATAGGTATAATGATTCTTTTTTTTTAATGTAATAAACATGGCCTCTCATTGTCCCCTTATTACTTTTTAATGTAATAAACAATGATGCCTTAAATAAATGTTATACTCAAAAATAAACTGAAAAGCATATATGCTTTATTGTTAAACACATATTTCTCTTCCAACAAAATGAAATGTCATCTGAGTCACCCTAGATCACCAAGGGTCCCAGATGACTCTCTACCGACATTTGACCATGTCTTGTAGAACTGCATGATCTCATGTTTTGGTAGAAGTGCAAGGGGGACCATATCACAGAAGAGATGTGGGAGACCTGAAGAGAACTCACTTTACAGAAAGGAGTCTGTAAGGATAAATGAGCCAGTTTAGCAACCTCAAGGTCAGAGAGGGGCGGTGGAACTGGACAGTGTGGTAGGCTTGAACCAGAACCTTTCCAATCCAGTTACCTTGCCAGTGCACATTGTCTTATGGGGAGAAAAAGGGCTGTGTGTGTGTAAGTCCGGGGAAAGGAAATCCCGAGGCAAAATACCTCTAAAAACCGAAGTCAGTCAAAGGGAGAAATAAAGTTTAAATCCCGATTATTGCTTACAAACTGTAGTCCCCGCCCTTCTCTCTTTTCTGCTCCAGCAGAAGCAAAACCAGCCTTCCCTCTCACCTCTCAGGTACAGATAAGCCCTCGGTTGCCCAGGTAATTATCCACTGATAGAGAGATGAACTTCTTTCCACCCCTGAGGAATGATGCAAATGCACTAAAGCCATATTTCTTTCCTCCTCTGAATGCCTATTGATATGAAAATGCACTAAAGCCAGACGAGATATTCTGGAAATGTTACAATTGTATCCACAGGCCACCCTTCCAGAAATCTTGCCTTACAATTTACTCATTTCCCCTCTTCCGACCAAACTAATAACGTACAAAAGCAACAGCAATAAAATCTTGATAATCCTCAAGCCAGAGGATTCATCCTATGCAGATTAAGTAAATGTACTTTACAGCACAATCTCTTACTAAGCATAAAATATGTTTCTATACTTGTTTACTCACTCCTAACAACCATGCTAGATTGCTCACAAAACTTTTACCAAACATTAGACAAAGTCAAGCCTCTCTTTAAGCATTTTTTTCTTGACAACATGAACACAATCATAATTCTCAAGCTAGAGGATTCAGCTAGGTTCAAAGTCCCATGCAGATTAAGTCCAAAACTCATCCATTCCAGCCATAACATGGCAGCCTCAGCCAGGGGGCATATCCAGGACACAAGGACTGTAGAAGCAAATAACCATGATTGTGGGGGGGCCACTTTGCTGTTATTCCAGGAATACACAGGAGACCAGCTTCCAGGCCTTTTCCCCAAGGTGCCAGAAGAGCCAGCCATCACCAGCCCATGTGTTGAAATGTCCAGGGACATGTACATTTTAATCCTAATTGCTGCACTCATCCTTGCAATGCATGTCCAATAAAGTGGGTGCCTTGATTGCTCTCAGTCACTGGCAACCAGCCAGCCATAGGCTGCAAAAAGACCCTTTAGGCCCCTTTTGGTGGTTTGGTGATCTGTACAATGTGCAGGGCACTCCTTCCAGGCTTGGCTGACTTCTTCAAAGGTCAATGGCAAGCCCCACCAACGGGCTACAGCCTGCATTGTCTTTTGCCCTGTGTGCAACAAATGCTGATGTAGCCATTGGGTCACATCAGAGGTAGGCTTTCCTTCTAGCCAGCGCACCTGGGCCAATGTGTCTGCTTCACCATTCCCAGGGGATGCCAAAGGCAAAAGGCCAGTCACATCAGTCACATGATATATGGTAGGTGTCTGTGCCATGCCACGCTGTGGCCTTTGGGTCCATTCTCTCACCCACCCTGCAATGGGATAGGTGGTTATTACCTTGGTCAGAGCTGTTCCAGCGATGGGTTCCGTAGCCAGCAAGGTGTGGTACACAGCAGCCAGTTGCTTCTCTATCAAGGTGACCCAGACCTCTGCTCCTTTCCATAGTTGTGACCAGGCTCCAGCTGGCAGCAAGAGCAGCAGCAGCAGCAGCAGCAGCAGCAGCAGCAGCAGTAGACTTAGGCTCCGGCCATGGACTGGAGTAGGTGTGGCCAGTAGTGGTGGTGGCACCTCCTTGACCACATGAGTGTAGACACACGTCCCTTGGTGGGAGGGCCACTTCTCCCCATTATTTCTAGGGGCGGCCCTCCCAAAGGTTGCACCCATTAAGACAGATTCTGGGTTCAGAGGAACCCTGCTGACTGTGCCAGACATACATCCAGGGAAAGGAAATCCCGGGGCAACATACCTCTAAAAACCGAAAGCAGTCAAAGGGATAAATAAAGTTTAAAACCCGTTTATTGCTTACAAATTACAGTCCAAGCCTTTCTCTCTTTTCTGCTCCAGCAGAAGCAAAACTGACCCTTCCCCTCTCCTCTCAGGTAGAGAGATAAGCCCTGGGTTGCCCAGGTAATGACTCACTGAGGTGGAGATGAACTTCTCTCCACTCCTGAGGAATGTTGTAAATGCACTAAAGTCATACTTCTTTCCCCCTCTGAACACCTATTGATAAACAGATGTACTAAAGCCAGACAAGATATGCTGGAAATACTACAGTTTTACCCACAGGCCACCCCTTATCTTATGGGGAGAAAAAGGGCTGTGTGTGTGAATCGTTAGAAGATGAACTGAGGCAATATAAAAGTTTTAAGAGTTTATTTGAGCAAAAATGAGAATCTGGCAACATCCAATCCAGCAGATAGGAGCTCCAAGGAGCTGGGAATAAGGAAGTTATACTAGGCAAAACATTGGGTTGGTTATTGCAAAGTTATTTTCTCTTAGGGATTGCAGGGGTCTCTCGGGCAGATTACCTAATTAGTGCTGATCAGGTGATTCTGAATTGATTGGTTTAAGATTCCATTTCTGGGAGAGTTGAAATGGCAATTAAGTTTCAGTAATACAATGTGGGTTTAGCATAAGTGACTCCATTTTGGGTCTGTTTTCTTGTTAACAAAAGGAACATGCTCTATAAATGAGCTCTTTAACTGGCACTACTCACCATTAAAACCAAAATTCAACTATGTAAATTTAAAGATCAAATTGGCTTTATTCCATGATTCATGAATAGAGTAGCATCCCTTCTAGCCAACAGAAAGGAGCTCTGGAGAGCTGCACAAAATGAGAGACTTTTATAAGCAGAAGGGACAGAGACAAGGAAAGAGCAGATTATATCACCTTTGTTTGGGGGGCAGATTACTTTGCTAGTGTTGGCCAGGAAATTCCAGATTTACAGGTTTAAGATTACATTCCTTTACTGCAAATAGGTTAGGTATTAAGTGTTGGTTTACTATATCGTATGGCTTAGCATAAAATACTCCATTTGGGGCCTGTCGTCTCTTTTTTTAAACACCACTAAGCAGAGTGTAATGTGGAGGGTGAGGGAAGAATTGGTCTTCTCATTTATGAGACTGTCATTCTGAGGACTGAGAGGACCCCCACTGTGGGCATGGGAACCACCAATTAGCTGATGTCTGGGGATGACACAGGACTTCCTGGAAAGGAGACTGGACGAGTAGAACCCAGTGACACAAAGGATAAGGATGCACAGCAGCAGAAAATTCATCAGTGATGCCAGACCCCCTTTTGAATCCCAGATGTATTTTGGAGGGATTTCTAGGGCTGGAGTTCTGGCAGGAGAGAGTGGGTTCATGTACCTATCAAGATTTACATATTAATGTTAATGTCAATTTTTAGCCTCAGGGTAGGGAAGCTTTAGGACAGTAGGAGTACAAAATATATTGGTTTTTTTGAAAACTTTTGGGTGTTTTTTTTTCTTTTTTGGCAAATCTGAGTACTTAAACAGATCTGATGCTTATAAAAATTTTATTCACTCATTCAACAACTATCCATAAGCACCCTTTATGCACTTGGGAATACAAAGACTTTAGAATGGCCGTTGTCTTCAGGCAGTGACTAGGAAATGTAAGGCAAGTAAGGGTGTTTAGTTAGATTTGCTACGTAGCTAAGAGTTATACTACTCTTCTGATACAGAAGAGGGGAAAACCTTTACAAACGGAAATTTATGTCACCTCCACAAAGTAAAATTTTTGCCTTCCTTTTAGGCAGAAAGGGAGAGGGCAGAGTTCTTTCCGTGTCTGTTGTTTCTCAGTTGCCTCCAGCCCGAAACAATCTTAACGCCAATGTAGCTTATTTGGGGGAGACATCTTCTGATCCCCTTCAATGTTGGCATGGATTACTTTTTTGCATATTTTAGTTTATTACTTATTGCAGTTACTTGTATTTCTGTGCATCAGATGATCAGCTCCTTGAGAAAAAAAACCTTATTTAACTGTATAACCTCAGTACAGAGTAAATGTTAGCGGAACTTGGTGCGCCTCTCTCATCAGCCCATAATTGCTGTGGGTCTGCAAATCAAATACTGCACTTGCTGGAATTATTTTAAAATCAAAGTAACAAGCTCTAGGACCTTGTGTATGGTCTTTATGCCAACTACTGTGGTTGTGCCAAGGCCTTATTTGCTTCCATCTCCACTGTAGCCCGCTTTCAATGTGTTACTCGTAAAAGAGGCTACATTAATTTGAGAGATGCACCTAATCAATTTTCTTACTGCATAGTTTAACTTAAAAGAAAAATCCAATAGAATTGCTCCAAGGTCAGAGGTTTTTTTTTTTTAAATTAATTAAATTGTTCTTTCTCCCATTTTATTCACGTCACTGCTTTAATCTGCAAAAACCAGATGGTTTCCACTTCCAGGCATAAAACCGTTGTTAAAATTTCGAGACTGACTTTGCCACATTTTTAAGGTAGAGTAAATAAAATATCTAATTATACAGATGGACAAGGTCCCTTTCTTGTAATCTCGCCGTTTCCAAACGTCATTATCAGAAGTGTTTTTAAAGCTCTCGGCGAAACACCGGAGCTGGTGAGCCCGGGCGTGGGTCCTCCGGAGGCCAAGGGGCATGGAATGCTTTCAGCTGGGTCCCACTGTCACCCATCAAAGCGTGGGACGTGAAGGGCCGCATGACGGCAGTCACAGGGCCGCCACGGGCCGCAGGACCCCGCAGGAGGCAGGGCGAGGGCCAGGCATCCTAAAGCAGGGGGCGCCCGCAGCTCCCCGCGGCGCCCGGTCGCGGCTTCCCTCCGCCCTCCCTGAGCGAGACCGGCGTCGCTCGCCCGAATCCGGGTCCCAGCGGCGCGTCGTGCCGGCCCCTTCCGCTGGCTCCGGACGCCAGGCCCGGGCATGCGGCTGCTGCGGCTGCTGCGGCTTCCGGGGCTCGGCGCCTCCGCGGGCCCGGCCGCCGCGGCCCGAGGCTCCGCTGCCCGCCGCGGCCCCCGCCCCCAAGCGCCACCAGCCGCCCGCCAGCCCCTGGCCCCACCCGGGCCTCCGCCTCTGCGGTCTCCGCCTCCCGCCCAGCCCGGAGCTGCGGCGCCCGCCCGCCGCCTGGCCGCCGCCGCCGCCGCCGCCTACCGAGACGCGCCCCCGAGCGCAGCCGCCATGGAGCGCCCCGGAGCCGGTGAGCCCGGGCGGCCCCGCGGGCCGGAAGGGGCGAGCGGAGCGCGATATCACGCTCTCGGGTCTCTACTCCCTCCCTCAAAGCGGGACTCAGCGTAGCCCCGAGGAACGCAGTGCACCCGGGGCGGGATCAGTGCCCCTGTTCTGGTGCACGCACTGGGAGGCGACGGGGGAACCTACCCCAAGTTTCACTTTTGTTTTCCCCGTTCTAATCTTGTGACCCTTACTTACAAAGTTCCTGTCTTGCACACACCCTCTTATTTTTATGGTCAACAAAGCCCGGGAAAATCCAGAGTGTTATCCTGTATCACAAACATTAAAGACCTGAACCACCACTGCAAGTCATTTAACATTTTATTTTAGGTGTGGAAGTGACTAAACTAGCGCCAAATCTGTACTAGGGCCCAGAGTTAATTTGCAGTCTAGGTCAGCATTTCTGTGAACTGAGCTTTGTAAGTAGAGGGAGTTATGAGCTGGACTTTCGGTGAAAGGGACCAAAAGCTAACTAGAGAAAAGGTGCTCTTCTGCTAGATTTTTGTAGTATCAATGCGTAAAAATAGATAAAAGGCATTAAAATGTTAAAATGAGTTATGTAATAGCGGTTAACTAATAGTAAATATGTTTACAATTGCTATGGGAATGAAATGACCTAGATCTAGTGGGTGGGGGTCTGAATTTTTGAGATGCCTTTATAAAGGAGAATGGATTGGAGCTTGTCCAAGAGAAAGGAGTCACACCTCACATCCTTTAGTGTGTGGACTACTCATTCAGGATACTGATAGCATTTCTGGGTCTTTTCCTTACTCATATTAACAGTTGAAGATGTTTTGGAGGTATTGTCTCCTTACATTCCTTTCACATATTACTCGTTTATTGTGTCCATTTGTCTCTAGTGTGTGTGGATTGTACTTGTGTTGTCTTTTTAAGAGGAGGAACCAAAAACTTGGAGGTCAAGTGACTTGATGATCATACAGATTTATCTGGATGATAAGAAGCTGTTTTTATTTCATTTTATTTTATTTTGGTATCATTAATCTGCAATTACATGCGCAACATTATGGTTACTAGACTCCCCCCATTATCAAGTCCCCACCACATACCCCATTAAAGTCATTGTCCATCAGCGTAGTGAGATGCTATAGAGTCTCTACTTGTCTTCTCTGTGTTATGCTGCCTTCCCCGTGCCGCACCCCTACATTATGTGTGCTAATCATAATGCCCCCTTTTTCCCCTTATCCCTCCCTTCCCACCCATCTTCCCCAGTCTCTTTCCCTTTGGTAACTGTTAGTCCATTCTTGGGTTCTGTGAGTCTGTTGCTGTTTTGTTCCTTCAGTTTTTGCTTTGTTCTTATACTCCACAGATGAATGAAATCATTTGATACTTGTCTTTCTCCACCTGTCTTATTTCACTGAGCATAATACCCTCTAGCTCCATCCATGTTGTTGCAAATGGTAGGATTTGTTTTCTTCTTATGGCTGAATAATATTCCATTGTGTATATGTACCACATCTTCTTTATCCATTCATCTACCGATAGACACTTAGGTTGCTTCCATTGTAAATAGTGCAGCAATAAACATAGGGGTGCATATGTCTTTTTCAAACTGGGTTGCTGCATTCTTTGGGTAAATTCCTAGAAGTGGAATTCCTGGGTTCAATGGTATTTCTATTTTGAGCTTTTTGAGGAATCTCCATACTGCTTTCCACAATGGTTGAACTAATTTACATTCTCACCAGCAGTGTAGGAGGGTTCCCCTTTCTCCACAACCTTGCTAACATTTGTTGTTGTTTGTCTTTTTGATGATGGCCATCCTAACTGGTGTGAGGTAATATCTCATTGTGGTTTTAATTTGCATTTCTCTGATGATTAGCTATGTGGAGCATCTTCATGTGCCTGTTGGCCATCTAAATTTCTTCTTTGGAGAAGTGTCTGTTCATATCCTCTGCCCATTTTTTAATTGGATTATTTGTTTTTTTGTTGTTGTTCAGATGCATGAGTTCTTTGTATATTTTGGATGTCAACCCCTTATCGGATCTGTCATTTATGAATATATTCTCCCATACTGTAGGAGCCTTTTTGTTCTACTGATGGTATCCTTTGCTGTACAGAAGCTTTTTAGTTTGATAGAGTCCCACTTGTTCATTCTTGCTTTTGTTTCCCTTGCCCAGGGAGATATGTTCATGAAGAAGTTGCTCATGTTTATGTCCTAGAGATTTTTGCCTATGTTTTTTCTAAGAGTTTTATGGTTTCATGACTTACATTCAGGTCTTTGATCCATTTTGAGTTTACTTTTGTGTATGGGGTTAGACAATGATCCAGTTTCATTCTCTTACATGTAGCTGTACAGTTTTGCCACCACCAGCTGCTGAAGAGGCTGTCATTTCCCCATTGTATATCCATGGCTCCTTTATCGTATATTAATTGACCATATATGTTTGGGTTAATATCTGGACTCTCTATTCTGTTCCACTGGTCTGTGGTTCTGTTCTTGTGCCAGTACCACATTGTCTTGATTTCTGTGGCTTTGTAGTAGAGCTTGAAGTTGGGAAGCAAGATCCCCCCTGCTTTATTCTTCCTTCTCAGGATTACTTTGGCTATTCAGGGTCTTTTGTGCTTCCATATGAATTTTAGAACTATTTGTTCCAGTTTGTTGAAGAATGCTGTTGGTATTTTGATAGGGATTGCATTGAATCTGTAGATTGCTTTAGGCAGGATGGCCATTTTGACAATATTAATTCTTCCTAGCCAAGAGCGTGGGATGAATTTCCATTTATTAGTGTCCTCTTTAATTTCTCTTAAGAGTGTCTTGTAGTTTTCAGGGTATAGGTCTTTGGCTTCCTTGGTTAGGTTTATTCCTAGGTATTTTATTCTTTTTGATGCAATTGTGAATGGAATTGTTTTCTTGATTTCTCTTTCTGCTAGTTCATCATTAGTGTATAGGAATGCAACAGATTTCTGTGTATTAATTTTGTATCCTGCAACTTTGCTGAATTCAGATATTAGATCTAGTGGTTTGGGAGTGGATTCTTTAGGGTTTTTTATGTACAATATCATGTCACCTGCAAACAGTGACAATTTGACTTCTTCCTTACCAATCTGGTTGCCTTTTATTTCTTTGTGTTGTCTGACTGCCATGGCTAGGACCTCTAGTACTATGTTGAATAAAAGCGGGGAGAGTGGGCATCCTTGTCGTGTTCCCCATCTTATTGGAAAAGCTTTCAGCTTCTCGCTGTTAAGTATAATATTGGCTGTGGGTTTGTCATATATGGCCTTTATTATGTTGAGGTACTTGCCTTCTATATTCGTTTTTTTGAGAGCTTTTATCATGAGTAGATGTTGAATTTTGTCGAATGCTTTTTCAGCATCTATGGAGATGATCATGTGGTTTTTGTCCTTCTTTTTGTTGATGTGGTGGATGATGTTGATGGATTTTCGAATGTTGTACCATTCTTTCATCCCTGAGATGATTCCCTTGAATGTGATGTATGATCCTCTTGATGTATTTTTGAATTCGGTTTGCTAATATTTTGTTGAGTATTTTTGCATCTATGTTCATCAGGGATATTGGTCTGTAATTTTGTTTTTTTGTGGTATCTTTGCCTGGTTTTGGTATTAGAGTGATGCTGGCTTCATAGAATGAGTTGGGAGTATACCCTCCTCTTCTATTTTTTGGAAAACTTTAAGGAGAGTGGGTGTTATATCTTCTCTAAATGTCTGATAAAATTCAGTGGTGAATCCAGATAAGATGCTGTTTTTAGTAGCTAAACCAGGAGTTGCCTGGATGGCATTGACCCTTTCCATTGGTTCTTGGGAGTATACTTACTATGCTGTAACTTCAAGGAGAGGAAATCCCGGGGCAAAATACCTCTAAAATGGAAATCAGCCAAAGGGAGAAATAAAGTTTAAAACCCGCTTATTGCTTACAAACTGTGGTCCAGGGCCATTTCTCTTTCCTGCTCTGGCAGAAGCTAGCCAGCCCTCCCCCTAACCTCTCAGGTACAGATAAGGCCTTGGTTGCCCAGGTAATTACCCACTGATATAGAGATGAACTTCTCTTCACCCCTGGAGGAACACCTATTGATATGCAGATGTACTAAAGCCAAGCGAGATATTCTGGAAATATTACAGTTTTACACCCATATGCATACCTAGTGGAGTGAATAGAAGAGCTCTTGTGCTTAGTAGTTGTATTTTATTATCCAAGTTGGAAACTTGCATTTTGTGGGACAAAGGGCAAACTGTCCATCTGTTTTTCCTCTCTTGGTCTTTGATGAAGTTATTTTCTGAAGTGCACGTATGTTTGAATGTTGGTGTATATTTCATATATGGTTTTATAAGGTATTTTAAGTGTATATGTTAGGTAGAAAGACAGATATGCACTGGATGAAAAGAGGGTGCAGCCTACCAAGAACTTGGACTTAATCAGATAAAGCCAGAGAACCAGAAAGGTTCTCAGAGTTAACACCCTTTGCAATGTGCTTTCATTCCATCTGCCCTGAATCTGGGCTGAGCTTGAGAACTGCTCTAGCTGATACAGGTGAGATAGGACAGAGACAAGGATCAAGCATCATGATTAATTTTCCTAAAAAATGTCAATATATAAATAGCATAATAAGAACAAGAAGGACTTATTTTAAGGCTAAGATTCCACTTTTGAAAGAGAATTGGGAAGGGTAACAGCCAATGACTTCTCTTGAGGCAAGGCAAACAGTCTTAACTGATGTGTTCCCAATACTTGGGAGTGGCCATTATCTTAGAGAGGAACAAAAGATTTGTCCTACAGAATTACTGAGAGGACTGGCTATAGACAATGACATATTGTCTCTCCCCAGAGATAGAATCATGAAATGAGACCACCTGACAAGCCTATGCACCCAACCCTTTACCTTTGCCCCATTCTTGAAAGCCTTAAAAGACAGAATCCTAAGCCCTTAAGCATGCCTCCTCTTCTCTGAGGTTGCCCATACTCCCCTTTCTTGGAGTGTACATCTTTAAAAGACT